GATACAAACTCTTATCTCGTTCCAATTATACGATTAAAATTTCGAAAACTGGCCGAACTGTTTGTTCCTCTGAAAATCACTCTCTTGCTTAATGGACGCGCAAGATGGACGTTTTTCTTTTTATTCGTGACGCGTCTGGCTGCGTCGATTCGTTTCTCCGAGAGTAGAAGAGAAAAAGAAAAGAAGAAGAAGAAGGGGAGAAGAAAGAGCGCGAGGAGGTCGCGCGAAGAGAGGTGAAAGCTTTATTTATACCCGTGACATTCTGTTTATTTTGGCTGACACCGTGTCTCTCCCGTAAGTAACGACGCACTCGGTCACGTGTTACGCTTCCATCCACGTTCCATCCATTCTCAGGATCGTTGCGCACGGTTACGTCATCTCCTGATGAACTCTCCTGAGTTGCAACTCACTCTCGACAGGGGCGGATTATCGATCAACCCTGGACGAGGTGATACATCGTTGAATCAACGTTGTCGCGCAATTATTCGTACGTGGAATCGTTTAACGAAAGAATTCCGAAATACGAAATTCACACCTTCGCTCGATGCTTTTAACACGCTTTTGTGTCTACCATACTTAGAATTTAATTCTAAAATTCGAAGAGAATTATATATGATCGAATCGTGCTCTCGTCGTGTCGAAAAATATTGAATAAAACGCGTGCTCGAAACGATGATCTAATACTTTCTTAATTTCAATGTGAGTGGCGACAATGGAAAGGAACGATCCGAGGCCGCATTTCCTCGGCGACGGTTGAAACAGGTTATATTAGGCACATTTCCATAACACTTAATCTCCCCGAGTTGTGAGTAATGCAATCCTTGACGTTGCGCTGGAATGACGTAATTACGATTACCTACGACGAGCGCAATTCGCGCCGCCATCTCTCTCCTTCTGACTTTCTTTGTTCCTATGGATGTCAGTTATTATAATAATTAATCATTGGAAATTCCATTCGCTACGATCCTCAGCTTCTTTCGAATCGATCGACAATTTTCCAAGATGTTCAACAAACACTGTTGGATGGAATTTTCCTAGTTTTTTTTTTTTTTACTCCAATCACTTGTTAACATTTTCGATACTCTTCAAAATTGCCTTTCATCATTTCCAAGGGTTTTTAGAAAATGTCGCATAAATTCTCAACGAATATTTATTTATTCCTTTTACGAAATATAAAGATGGAACGAAAGGGAATTTTGCCGTTTACGGGACGGAATCGTGAGGGAAGATCGGGGAGAGGAAGAGTCGTCGCGGCGAGATGAGGAAACGCGATGAAGGAGAAACGAAATGTGTGTACGTGGTTCGTGGTCAAACCTCGTGCGAGGTTTTGATAAGCCTTATCTTATCGAACGAGAACCAAACGAAAGTTGCGGGAACAACACGCACAGATGTTGGATCGTACACACAGTGTTTCAAGAAGATCTGCGATAACGAATAATCGAACGTTTTGCGCGGAACCTTCATTCTCTCTCTCTCTCTCTCTCTTCCACCCGATTCATTCTTCGGGTGGAAGAGAGTGAGAAAATTTGACCGTAATTTCGAGCCGTATTCTACGTTTTCGAACGATCGTAGAACGAGTCTCGTTCCATATTTATCCAGTTGGTGATTATTCAACGGTGTTCATGTATATTCCATGAATTTTCAAACTTTATTTAAAAAAAACAACCTCTCGGAAACTAGAAGAAGAAGAAGAAGAAAATTTTTACAACGTTCGCTCGTGAATCGTATCGATATTTTTTTCTGAAAAATTCATTCACGAATCTTCGTTCCTTACAAAATTCTCCAAAAATTCTCCTACAAATCTTTCCAATTAATCACGTATTCTCAAATCCAGCAATAACCTCTCTCGTCCAATCAAGTCGATCATCCCGAAACATCCCGTCTCGAAATCTCGAGATCGTTGTTTTCTTCTTGAAAAAGATTTTCACGACCCGGCTGTATTATCGGACGATAAGCGGTAAAAGGAACAACGATGTTCCACGCTGGTGGCGCGCATCTGGTGTAATATTATCGGCGTGACACGTTTTAGAAACACGTGATAACCAACTCTGGAAACGGAGCGAAAAAGGGCGAGAACGAAATGAATATTCATAGGCGAGGGAATGTTGTCGGATGTGGTGTAACCTTCTCCTCCGGAAAAAAGAAAAGAGATCTACGAAGATGGGGGGGGAGGACGGGGGAGGGGGGGGGGAGAGAAGGGATAAAACGAGAGTAACTCGTAGAATAACTCTTCCTCTTCCTTTTTCCTCCCCCTCTTTTATAGCGCTTTTTTTTTTTTTTTTTTTTTTTAAATAAATGAATCGAAGATTCGTGTCGAATGTCGCGATTTTCTCTCACGTTGACGGATCGCTATTTATTTCTATTCCCTTCTTTTGTTCTATACCACTGAAACACGCTTGGAGAATTGATCGGAGAATATTCTTTTTCCTCCCTCTTTTTTCGAAATCTTGTATATTTCGTTTTTATTTCTCTTTGGCGGGTATAATTGATATTCGATTGCAGGTTTGAGATGATTTTCAAGAGAGAGATGGAATGTTAAGAAAGATATAAATGCAACGAAACAACAAGCGAAAAAACTGGGAAAATTCAGATTTGTGATTTCGATAATTCGGGATGTTAAAAATATTCGATCCAACGTGACGATTTATTCAAAGAGAAATAAACGAGTAAAAATAACTCGAAACCCATTTCGAATTCGAAAAATTCTAGAAATCGAAACTTCGAGATCCCTTAATCTCTTCTCGAAA